TTCCACGCCAATCATTTCTTTACTTGTTCTTTATTTACTTCAATATTTTTTAGTAAACTGTGGAAAAAAATTCATTAAAAAAATTTGCTTTAAGAGCAAAAAAAAACTTTAACATACGCACTTTTTCCGCATGCGTATATAGCTAATTAAACCCCGTTTATTTATTATTTTTTTTTTTAAAATTCTGAACTTAACTACTTCCTACTTTTAGACCAGCCATGGACCATGGTTTATGGTCGCGTCCTAGCCATATTCAATAGTTTACTATATTTATTATTATTATATGCTTAGTTTTGAATAAAAACGGTTTTTTATAGTTATCTTTGTATTAGACGGAAACGGTAATGCAATTCTTTAAAACGTTAGTCGCTTAAAGCGTCAAAAGTCATGCAAAAAAATAAATTATAAATTTTGTGGTTTAAAAGTTGAAAAACTAATAATATTATAACATAAAGTTTGGTAATTTTTAAACGTTATTATTTAGCTCTTACTTATGGTATTTATTTTGTTTTCATTTTACATTTTTAAAAAAATTTTGAAGCACCTAACTACATGCATAACTTTGATAGCTCACAAGTTAAGTGCGCAGTCATCAGAGTCGCTGTGCGAGGCTTCAAATCCGCGCCTAAAAAATCTCAATACATTTTTTTTAATTTTTTTAATCTGGCTATATTTATAGCAAAAAAATTAAATATAACAAAAAACCTTTTAATTGCTTTTTTTTCCCCTGCCTCCACTGCAATACCATGTGGAGTAGCAGGACGGTTTTATCAAATCTTTTTCCTTATTAGGTTTTAGGACCTTTTTTTTTAAGACTATCCGTAGCTTATTAGGACCAATTATGCGAGAACAGTATCAAAATCGTGACACACGCAAAAAATTTTCGCCACGTTTATTGGTGTTTTAAGAAATCCAAAAAATTTATAAAATTAAAAAAAAAAAAAACGGTTAAAGTGTATAACATTTAACTTGTTTAACTTCACAAATATTTTGTAATTTAAAGAAAAAAATCGCTGGCGGTAAATTTGAACCACGACTATTACGTTCAGAGGCTTAGCGCGCTAACCACTCGGCCATGCTGACACATCAAATATCGAAATTTTAAAAATATATAAAAATTGTTTTTAACGGAATTGCTGTAGATCAAAAAATTAGGAGAGGTTGTCGCAATGCAATTTTTAAGTCAAAGTCAAAGTATAAAACTTGAAAAATGTTTCAGTATGTTTTATCATTACTTAATTACGTACGTTAGATATTTGCATACACGTTTTCTTCTAAAAAAAGTGTTGCGACTCTTCCTACTAACACTACTATTAAGTTTGGCATTATTATATAGAAGATAGATAGATTATAAAATAGTTTTTCACTTAAAAGGCCAAACTCTATTCCACATTAACCTTATCTTTATTTCTCACTCTAATATTTTTTAGTGAACAATAGATTATGTGCTAGAAAAAAAAAAAAAAAAAAAAAAAAAAATCACATATGCACCTTTTCCGTATATTTATATTTAGAGCTTAACATGAAGAAGGTAAATCATTTAGTTCAAGACAACCAGCCCAAACCCAAATCCTCTGTTGATTTATGCACACTCACTGTCGCTAGGCGTGTAAAATAAGTAGCTAGGCAAGTCAAATAAATTACTTGATCTGTTTTTCTGCATAAAACAAAAACAGAAAATGTGAAGTACTTGATATAAGGAACTGTAATATTGGATTTAGTTAATTCAATACAAAGTGATAGGAAACTGCAAAATAAGGCAACGTGAAAATTATTCAAATACTAATTTACAACAATTTGTATTGCGTTTTATTAAAATAGCTTTATTAAATAGTATGAAGATTGATGATTCTTCTTCTTCGCCTTTAGAAAATGATTAACGATTTGAAAGACTTAAATTGATTATAAAAGCATTATCTAAAGAGTGCTTTTGTAAAAGTCTCTAATATTTGTTTGGAAGACTGGAAATACTCTTTTTTTAAAAAAATTCAGTTTTATCAGCATTGCTAAAGATAAAAATTCTTACTGACACAAAAAAATTAGGCTTTTTCTTAAAATATTTCTTGGCTTTTAGTGAATGATTAGGAGTAAGTTTCAGTAATGAAGCTACCCAATAATCATTTTTAACAATAGACACCAACGTGAATGTAAGCCAAGCTGTCTATTAACACAAAACATCACAAACATATTACAGGATGACAAACAATAACACCAGTAGTGTAGGCAGGATTTTTGTTGTTTCAGGTATATAGAATTATTTTTTGTTTGGAATTTGTTGTTTCAGATATATAGAATATATAGTGTAGGCAGGATTTTTGTTGTTTCAGATATATAGAATTATTTTTTGTTTGGAATTTGTTGTTTCAGATATATAGAATATATAGTGTAGGCAGGATTTTTGTTGTTTCAGATATATTTAGAAGCTGTTGAAGAGTTTAACTTTGTTATGTCTAAAAAAAAATCAGGTTAGGAAAAACACTTTTTTTAAACATTTTTTCCTAAGCTTTAACAACATCAATTTTTTGCAAAGTTTTTTAATTCTATAAACGTGAATACACTTAAGTTAGGTTGAAAGTGCTATCTGAAGCATCAAAAGACCCTGCCAGTGCTACTGAATACACATAGCATAAAATGTTTGTACATAACACAAAATATTCAGATTATGTGTTTCCAGAATAATTAAAAAAGCTAGGCAACACAACCTAGCTCAACACTTGTAACACCGCTTGGCACTAAACGCTGCCAAGTAACACCACAATTTAGTAACACCGCTTGGCTTTAAGTGCCAAGTAACATCATTAGTAACACCGCTTGGCTAGCAAGAATCACAATCTTGCACTACACGTTGCCAAGTAACACCACTTTTCACATGGAAACAACTTAATATAAAATTATATAAACTTAAGCACATAAATATAAATAAAGATATATAAACGAATATCTTATTAATTTTTTGCTATACTAATCTAAAATGAACAAAAACAATAAAGTGCTATTTATCAGTTTAAACCTATGAAACTATGTGTATAGCGTCTAATAAAATTTGTGAACAAAAGATATAACTAAACTGGTTTGAAACAGAGAAAAAGCCAGAAGTATCTTGTAATAACATACTATATTGTAAGTAATAAAACAGTATTTTTTGAAACAAATAAAAAATTTTATTATTTTAAAAGTCATATTAATGGTAATATTAAAAAGCAAAATTAGTTACAAATTTTTAAATGACATGCCAACAATTGCAAACATGTTGCATCATATAGACCACATGTGGCTGACAACTGATTTTAAATACTATTTTATAATATATCTAAAGAGATTAATAGGTGTATTGTGCATATATTAGACATATTAAACAGATATCATAGAACAAGAAAAACTTTAAATATATTTACCAAATCTTTCAAAAACTATATAACACTTAACAAAATAAAAGTTAATACAAAAGAAAATTTAGTATTATTAAAATTAAAAATGAGGATAAAAAGATGTAAAAACGTAAATTAATAAAAAAACTTATAGACAAATTATTAAAAACTTTTATAACATAAGAGTTCTTTGTAAGTTTAGGATTTAAAAACAGAATTAAAAATCAAAAAAATAAAATAGTAAAAGTATATAAATTAAAATAATAAAAAATTGCGAAATTAAAAAAAACATTTTTTTAAAAAGTCAATTTTCTTTATAAATAAAAAAGAAGATAATTCTACCAGTAGTTTAAAAAAGCTACTGTTAGAAATTAAAAGAGTTAAACCGCTTTCCAGCACCCCTCCTTCTACCAGTGGTGTCATATGGGGCTTGTCTCCTCCATCTAAAGGAGGGATCATCTCCCCCATATTGACTCCACCGGTAAAAAGCTCTTGGAGATATTGGACCTGGGTGCTGGGAGCGATATTGCAGGAAATCTTGATGCGATGCTAAAAAACAAAAACAAAAAAAGAAATAAATTTGAATACAATACTGCACAAAACAACCAATAAAAATATTATTTAAAACTATTTAGACTAAAAAAAAAAAAAGTTATGACAAAAAAAATAAATAAAAAAAGTAATGTAAAAATAAGGATATGCAATGTTTAAATTTCATATATACCTACACAAATACACATAACACCCACAAAACTGCATAAGTATGGAAAACAGATTACCTGATGGTCCTGCAGATATTGTTGCTATTATGGAAATAAATAAAAAAGTATATGAACTAAGACATATATTAAACAGTTATGTAATTGCATACAAACATGAAAAAAGTAATGTTTAGGTTTCAATACACATAACACTGCATAAGTACGGAAAAACTGCATAAGTATGGAAAACACATTACCTGGTGGTACTGCAGTTGATACTGTTGCTATTGCGGAAATAAATAAAAAAGTATATAAACAAACACATATATTAAACAGTTATGTAATTGCATTCAAACGCGAAAAAAGTAATGTTTAAGTTTCAATACACATAACACTCATAAAACTGCATAAGCATGCAAAACACATTACCTGATGGTACTGCAGATGATATTGATGCTATTGTGAAAGTAAAAAAAAAAAAAAAAAGTGTATAAAGTAAATATGTTAAACATTTATGTAATTGATAACAAACATGAAAAAAGTAATGTTTAATTTCAATACACATAAAACCCATAAAACTGCATAAGTATGCTAAACAGATTACCTGATATTATTGCTTGAGGTGCTAATGTAGAGACAAAAAAATAAATAAAGTAATCTGTAAATTAAGATATGCTATCTTTAAGTTTTAACACACATAACACTCTTAAAACTGCATAAGAATGCAAAACACATTACCTGATGGTACTGCAGATGACGCTATAGTGGAGGTAAAAAATATATTTAGATAAACTAACATATACTAATCAATTAAACAGTTTTTTTTAGAGTGATAAAACCGCACACAAACATCAAAAAATGTGTGTTAAAATTAAACAATAAGAAACATAAGTGTACTTTGCTTACCAATTGAATTTTCTAAATTTTCTAAATAGAATAAAAAACTCAGTAACATTAGGAAAGAAACTAACATGCAGAATATTTGTCAACTTTAGGAAATCTATAAATAAAGTTGGAACAAAACTAAAGGCAAAAATAACAATCACAAAACAAAACAAACCAAAAAAGAAAAAAGCGACAAAAAAAAATAAAAAATAAACTAAAGAAACAATCCACAAGAACAATATAGTAACTTACTAAGTTGTTGAAATATAAGCCCTATAAAAAAAAAATGCTAAAATTTGTATCAAAAAAGCTAAAAGACCATAGAATATACCTTTTTTTTTGAAAGTAAAATGCTATATCTTTATCTATAATACACAAATGTAATATAATCAAATTCTGTTTACCCATTGAATGTTCTAATTTTTCTAAATAAAATGAAAAACTTATAAACATTAAAATAAACTAACTTGCCAAATATAGAATAACTTTATGTTAAATAAATATGTAATAAAAAAAATAAAGAGCATGACAACAACAATAACAAATTGCTTACTTAGATTCTCAACAGAATCTTCTATTTTTTCTAAATAAAATAAATTTAAAAGTTACAAAAGTCACTTGCTGACTGACAAACTGTCACAACTGACAAAAGTCAGTTGCTAAATAACTTTAAAAAAAACTAAAAAAGCATAAATGTATTTGCACACAAAAAAAACAAAAAACAACAACAAAATTCCTCACTTAGCTTGTCCATTACTTCCGCTAAACATTAAAAAAAAGTTATAATTAACAAATTGCTGAAATTGGTGAAATATATATATTTGTAACATATCTTTCTCACACAAAATTAGCTTACTTGGCAAGAGCTCTTCGGCTCTGATCTCTTGAACATCTAATATATATATAGACAATATTAATTTTCAAAATATTTACTTTTTCAATTAAACATATAAGATTTGTCTTAAATTTTAAAACTGTTGCACAGTTTTATAATTTAACACATTCAGTAAATGACAAAAAGTTTCATTTTACGTAAAAGTTTAGTAGTTAGAAGACTTAAAAGTCAATTTTAGCTTAAACACGTTTTATAAAATTATAGCTTAAACACCTTAAATAAAGCTTATACGCATTTTAAAGGTTCACTGCTTTACAAAAACATCAATCAAAATAGCGGAATAAGCAAAAACTGAGTTTTGGGTCCACCCTTTTAAAGTTCTAAAAATTAAATTATATATTTTTTAATTTTAGTTAAATTTTAGGGGGGTGTACTTGATTCACGGGGTTAGGGGAGGGCGGCATATCTTGGTTGATTTTAATTGAAAACGGCTAAATTAAATCATCGTTTTATTCACACCGTAAATCAAGTACAGCTCCGCCACTTTTAGAACATATGTAACTGCTACTATATATAGTATATATATATGGCTTACTTCGAAAAAATGCAGAAACTTCTTCGTCGCCTAAAGATATACAAAATTATCTTAATGTAATTTCTTAATAAAATAATAAGCTAAATATCTCAGTATTATTGACGTATCATCTCTTTTTATCTCTTTAATTAATTAATGTTATACAAAATTAAAAGAATACCCAGCGGGCACAGACGTCAATCAAACGTCTTAAGGACGTCTTAACTAGGTCGCGACGTCTCAGACCAAATTAGGACGTCCTAAAGACGTCTGGTAAAGACGTCTTTGTTAGGACGTCCTTGTGACGTTAATATAAAGACGATATCAGGACCTCAATATTTTGACGTCCTATTGACGTCGCTAAGACCTACGTAAGACGTCCTAATTACCTTTAAAATAAGTAGAAAAATTAATACTATCAACTTGGCGCATACAATATTATGCGCAAACTCGGTTATTTAAATATGTCTACTTGTTTTGGTTGATTATTTTAAGACTATTATTTTGTTTACTTATTTATCGTTTAAAGATATTTTTTAATTTTCTATATTCTATACTCTATGATCTATAAACTATAATCGATACACTATTTAAATAAAAGAGTAACTAAGTTACAAGTATAATGAGGGAATTTTAATAAAAGACATCAAAATTGCACCGAGACTTTTCACTTTGTGTTTTATAGAATAGTATTAATATTTTGTGTGTCTGTGTTATATATAAATTAATATATACATATTATATTATATATATACATATATAATATATATATTTGCATATATATATATATGCAAAGATTTGTAATATCTTGGCTGTAGAAATAGGTAAATGAATAAATAAATTGTATATATTTTGTTGTTCCTGTGTTGTTTCATTCCATTTTATGATTTTTCCATCATTGGTTGTATAAATAATTATTAAGACTATTACTTATGTTGACACCTTGTTACTGTGTTGTTTCAAATAATTTGATGTATAATTATTTATATATACATGATTTATACATTGTATTATAATGTTTATATGATGCATACATATTCATTATATATATGTATATATATATATATATATATATATATATATATATATATATATATATATATATATAATATATATATATATATATATATATATATATATATACATATATATATATATATATATATATATATATATATATATATATATATATATACATATATATATATATATATATATATATATATATATATATATATATATATTTATTTATTTATATATGTATATATATATATATATATATATATAAATATATATATATATATATATATATATATATATATATATACATATGTGTATATATATACATATACATATATATATAATATATATATATATATATATATATATATATATATATATATATATATATATATGTATATATATATATATATATATATAAATATATGTATATATATATATATATATATATATATATATGTATATATATATATATATATATATATATGTATATAAATATATGTATATATATATATATATATATATATAAATATATATATATATATATATATATATATATATATATATATATATATATATATATATATATATATATATATATATATATATATATATATATATAATGAATATGCTTTTGTATGTGTGTGTATTGATAAATATCAACATTTATCACACATATTATTACACACATATTATTGATAAATATCAACATTTATACACACACATGCACAAACTTACACACACACACACACACACACACACACACACACACACACACACACACACACACACACACACATATATATATATTATATATATATATATATATATATATATATATATATATATATATATATATATATATATATATATATATATACACATTTATATATATATATATGCATTAAATAATAATTTAAATGCAGAAATACATCTTTGTAAATATATATGTGTGTGTGTGTGCGTTTGTGTATAGGTAGCAATTATTTACAGTTTTTGGCGTTAGACAAAAACCATATAATTTTCTTGAACTTTACTTGTTTCTATATTTTTTTAAGGTTAAGCATGAAACTTGAGATTTTTTGCATTATTCAGTTTAAATCTACCTCTTTTCAACCATATATAGGAAGTACTATTTACTATTTTATATACTATTTATATGGCTTCACTTATATATTTTACTTTTCAGAGTTTTAGAAAAAAATTATATTCCAACTTGCTGAAATGAAAAAAATTTTAGTAGATAGAACTGCACTGTTCTCTAATAATCCAGAAGAAGGTTTTAAACAACGTAAAAGTTTAGATAAATTTAATGTTTTGAAAAAAAAATTTCGCATATGGAGATATCCAATACATCACTTTTGTATACATGAGTTTCAACTTTATATTTTATATGTTACATATTATTACAATATTTATTTTAAATTGTTATAAACATTTTCAATGTTTCTAATACATTGTTTCTTTTTAGGTAAAACAGTTATCATTAATTGGGGGTAAAAATCTAGCTGATACAATTAAAAATATTTTGCTCTTGTAAGTAATTAGCAAAAGTTTGAATTTTAATATTTATGATTGACAGTAGAGCATTTATCTTCTTTTTTATATATGTAGACTGCCAACAGACACTATTTTGTCAGAATACAGCATGAATTGTTTAAATAAGAAAAAAAAGTTTAAAGAGTTGACAAGTCTATGTAACTCTGTCACTGGTATTCTTATTAGCTTATTAATGTGTTTGATTAATTAAAAATTAAAAATGATGTTTTAATTAAAAAAAAAAAAATTATTTTTTTGGCTCTATAACATGACATGTATTCAAGTGTATGTATGACATATATATTTTATTTTATGATCTTATTGAAACATGTTTTGTTGTTTTTATTAGAAGCTGCTTTAAAGTCAAATAATAACTTAACCAAAATGGATGCTATCCAACTTATTGGGAGAGTAATTAGGCATTCTTCTGACCGAATAAAGAAAACATCGACTTATATGGATTTCGATCAATGTTGGCTTAATTAACTGTTGTATTTTGTATTTTTTTTTCCATTTTTAAGCAATTTTCTTTTATTTATAATGCACTATCGATTATATTCTACAGTACCTATTTGTTTTTAATTTGAAAAATGTAACTTTGTTTGAAAAATTATTCTTATTTTTTGTAAAGTTATTAATTTATTTTAAATATATCAAATTACACTTTATTTACATTGATTTCTTTTTAAAACTTCCCTTGCCTAGATTAAGGCAAATCTAAAGTGTGTGTTGTAAATCATTGCATTTTTATATAACTTTTAAAAGAATGTCTTGGTAAAATTCAAACGTCTCTAGGACGTCTGAAAAAGACGTCCTTAAGTCTTTCATATGAAACCAGCCAGAGACGTCTCTAGAACGTCTGCAAAAAACGTCTCTAGGACGTCTTGAAAAGACGTCTTTAGGACGTCTGGAATAGACGTCCTCAAGCCTTTCATTTGAGACCAACTAAGGATGTCTTACGGACGAGACTTAAGACGTCTTACGGACGTCCTTAGGACGTCAAAATGCCCGCTGGGTACCTTCTGTATCTTGGCTGCTCATTTCTAAAAAATAATCTTAATGTTTATTCTTGGGTCAAAAACATATTAACTTCAAACATATTAACATGGTAATTATAAAATAAGTTTAATTTTTTAAATGAAGATTACAATAATTAAACTTGTAGATAAAACTTACTTGTCGTCCCTCGCTTTGCAATTGTTATAATCGATATGAAGACCACATGGCCGAGTTTTATTGGTTTTAGAGTACAGTTGGCGCACATATCATAATACAAAAATCAGATGGTTTTGAATCTATTAATTAAGCTGTTTTTGTTAACGGATTTGGTGGATTTAATTAGATAACCACAAGGTAGTTTTACAGTGGTTTAAGAGTTGGCGTACGTTTCGTAATACAAAAATCATTTAATATTTGTTTATATCTTAATATTCGAGCATTTCTATTAGCGGATTAGGCGAAATTTTGTGGGTTTTCTGTTTGTCACCTTCTGGAGTAACTAAATTTTTTTTTTTAGGTTTCAGATTACAATTTTTTTTTCATACCTTTCCGTACTTTTTAGGACTCTTGACCAGTTAGTTTTAATAAAAATTTTAGATTGCATGTAAAACCTTTTTTTTATATATATA